GCAACAACAAAAACAAAAACAACAATAACCTAAGTGTAGTGAACAGGGGATTTCCGTGAAACTCCCAAGTTATGCCACTAATTAATGACTAATTAATTCAGTGGCCTATAAATGTAGCAATTGAAAGTTGGCTCTTGTTGTACTCTTTTCCTACACATACGTCAAATTGCATATTTCTAGGAAACTTCGTGAAAATCATTAGTAAATGATTCTAAATCTCATGGATTTTTCCACGGAAAAAGGAACCCACAAACCATAAATACATCATTTGTTTGTTTGGGTTTTTTTACATTTCACAGAAATTAACTGAATTCATACACGAACGCATACACACACACACACACACACACACGCTTAGCTACTGTATTATTATTTTTATTTTTTACTATTTTGTTTTATATTTTAAAAAATTGTATTATATTTTTTTTAACACACAAACACACACTGTTTTATTTACTTTATTTAATGAACTGTATGAAATCAGTTGTTCTTTTGTATTATATTTTAAGCTTTGGCAATATCGTTGTTTGACATTCATGCCAATAAAACTGAACTGAATTGTTTGTTATGTGTGTTCTAATGTAGGTAAAGCTGTTAACATTCACATTCTGTCTGCTTGAAGTCTGTGCGGTCTGCTCAGCACACACCCACAATCTTTCTCTTATTGAAGAGGTGAACAGCGACATCTCATGGATTAAATCTGCTAGTACACCTGTGATGTCGCCCCTCCTTTGTCTGCTCTACCTTGTGCCCCACGAGGAACTATTTCCACCCTGAAGCAGCGCGTGGGAAAATGAATAAATTCAGATAGAAACGAAAAAATAACCGTCACTCTGATAGCAACTAACGGCTAACCGCACCCCTCCCGCGTGCTGCGGCTACGTATTGGTTCTGGAATTAGGCCAAACGTGCGCGCGCACCGGCACTGCCGCATTCTGCAACACCTCCTCCCATTTCTGCCCCCATCGTTTCCCCCGCACTGCTTCAATGCTACCAGATTGTTTCAACGCACCTAATTCGCATTATTACCCGCCCTTGTTGGGAGAGGTGGCGATCTCATTTGACAGAGAACGCTCATCTGATGTCTCCAAGCTGCGGATGCTGCACCGTGGAGGGAGGCGGGGGAGGGGGCATGTCTAAAAATTACATTACAGGCAGATTCAGAGCACAGACCCCAGGAACAGACAGCCCGTCGCCATGGCAACGCAGCGCCTGTAGGCAGGTCGCTGTCCACGGTGCTGAAAGAGCTGTGCTCAGGAAGGAAGGAAGCAGAGGGGGGGGCGGGGGATGCAGGAGCTGTGAATGCTGCGGACAAAGAAATCAGATGTATCCACATGCCTTGATACTGTTAATTCTCTAAAACATGTAAGATACACATTACCCCCTCATAGTCAGATCCCTCCCTCATGGTTTATTACCAATAATTATTTTGCAATTAAGGTATCAGGGAAAAGGCATGTACCTGTAGCCCACATATAAAAACACATATAAAACACATATAAAATATCACTCTTTAATTCACTTTTTTTTATTATATTCATTCAATTATGCATAGCAAACAAGACCCCGGATTAATACATAAAATACATTGCGGCATGGTGTATGGTGCACATGTGTTAGCCTACGAGTGCCAGCTGGTGGTTGTTCTGGTGTTTTGTTCCACATTGGTGCATTGTAGTGTCATGTGTGCTTGGCTGCCAGTGGACCAGAGCAGCGAACAACCGGCAGTGTGTGAGTCTCCTCTCTGGGTCAAGTGGTGATGAGAAAGGAAAGCTTATCTCAAGCTGCTTCATCTCACTTTTATTCCAAACAAACACAATAACATCAAAATTAGACCCCATATAAAAGCATTTATTCCTGCTTTATTTAAAAGACATTACAATGACACAACCGTTTTAAGCGATAAAGAGTGCTACTAAAATTGTAGGGTAGAGGATATTTAAATAAAAAGAACTCATCCTGTTGCCTGAATGTCGAGCTCTCCTACTCACGCATGACCTCATTTCCCTGGGGAGATGAGGTCATGTGTGTGCATTCACAAAGCAGAGAGGGACACATTTATTATCAGAAAAACATCCTGCAAACACAAATTGCCTGCAAAATTGTGTATTATATTATAATAAAATGTATCTCCATGCGCTCCAAACACTCATTCTGTAATTTGACCTTTAGCGCAATTCATCAGACTATATTTTGAGCTCCAGTTGAGACATAATGTGTTTGCTCTTTTCAATAAATGTTAGTTATCTTTAACATTGTGTTTCATTTGAAGGATAAAGATGGTCACAATGTCCTCACCAGTGAAGACAGCCCAGAAGGGGTAATTAGCCGGAGCCAGTTGCCACACTGCCATCATACATTAGAGAGGTATTGTCATGGATGTCCTCAAATGCCTCCCGTTGGAAATTAATTATATTAGAAGAAAAACTCTTTACTGGACTATAACCCTTGTCTATTACATAGCAAGCCTTTTATCAAAAGTGAAAATATGGAAAGAGACTATGGCTTCCTGGATAGATTAAAAAAACATGACTTTTTAAAAGAGAAAGAATTGAATGATTCTTAATTTAATTTGTCAGTGTGAGCTCAGTGTTTTCAAGACATGGCATCTAAGTAGACTAACTAGACTAGTAAGACTGTTGAGTATGTTGAGCTATAAATGTTAAATGCAACACTCAATAAGTACTCACTAAATCGTTTGTGGCATAAAAGCATTATTGCACTTAAACTCTGTTAAAATTTCAACTCTGGTGCACTTGCCTCAACCACACCTAGTAGTTACTTTAAGTGCAATGCTACTGCAATGCCACAGTGCCACTGGTATTTGAAATGCTTTAATCAGTGTGTAATATGTTACCAACTCTAAATGTAAATGCATCTTTAATAGGTGTGTAATACACAAAAACATATACTAATATATGTGTATAACTCGTGTGAGTTACTCATGATTTAAAAGTTAAAGGCTTAGCTTTTTGTTTGTCTCCTGGGATGACTCCTCTAAGTTGCATTTCAGAACTCACACTGCTGCCAAAAACCTTCTAAAGAGAGTTTCTGTATATTGATGAATAATGTGCATGTTATTGAATGATAATTATAGCAGTAAAAATCATGTATGTATGTTTATATTCTGTTTGCCAACATATTTTCATGTAGCTAAGACTTCATATCTTTGAGTAGACATATACACTCACTCTAAACTTTTCTTGGAAGGAATATTCAATTCCTGTGAGAAGTACAGGTCTCAGACTAGAGATAAACAAAGCCATCAATTTGATATGAGAGGATGTCCTGTGTTATTGCAACAGTGTGGTAAGCTGTCTAAATGTCCAGATTTGATAAAGTATGTGTAATGGAAAGAAGGACAGGGGTGAGAACAAAAGTGATGTTTGCTGATATCAGAAGTGTATAAATAGTCTTGCTTTCTGTTGCAAGGTCCGTTTTAAGCTGCAGTCGAATCTCAGTCTTTGTCATTTAGAGACTTAAAGCTTTATCTGTCTCAGGCAAAGATGTTTTTTTCACTTCAGGGAAAGGAGAGAAAAACCATGACATCGGATAAAAACAGAATCCCCATCCCTGAGCATACTGGAGGAAGGTCTGCTTTCTGGAATAGTACGGATTTTATACCCACCACCCTTTCATAGTCATATTGTGGATTACAGTGTGGCTAAACAGTGACCTTTTGAGCACATTGTCTGTCACTCAGAGAGCAAGAAATATGGTACGACATTGCCTGCTAAAACCTTGCAAGTAATCATTTTCTGACCCTATATAAGAATGATGTCAATTTGGTCCAGCACGTAACAATCAAAATACAAATACAACAACTCACTCAATATGGGAAATAAGGTATTGTGTGAGGTGACAATCTGAAACTTTGCTTTAATATTTATTTATATTTTTACCAGCCTACATGTCTGTGTTAGGCCTGACTCTCAGGTAAACTTTGATTTAGAGAATGGTCCACATTAAAGTAAAATTGGATTCACATAACATCTGGAAAAGCTTTGTGTGTACTGTGCCACTACAAAGTCTTCTCCATCAGATGATAAAGCAAGCTTACAGCTCTCCCGTAATAAACACAGTATGTGAGCCGGATTAACATTGCTATTTCCATAAACTGCATTGGAATGTATTCATTCAAGCTAATTACTGTCCCTTGAAGTGACTCAGACAGGAAGATCATACTGAGGCTGATATTGTTCCAAGGCCAGAAGTGCCTGTGTGTTTTAGAAATGAGCTAAATGTTTTTTAAACTGACATATAAGAGTAAACTAGCTGTGAAGGGTGAGACAAGCATTATAATGATGATGCTTATTGTTATTATTAAGTAGGGTGTTAACACAAAATTCCTTTTACAATAATGCAGCTGTGCCAAAGAAATGTTAAGCCTTTTGATGCAAAACTCAAGTAATTCAGAAGTTCATCATTAGGTTTTGTGGTTTTGTTTTTGTATTTAATAGATCATACAGACCAGACCATAGCATACAGTAAGCTCACATTTCACAAGTTACCACATATTGCACCATGAAAGTACCACTGTACAAAAGCACTGTATATGTTTGCCTGTAAAACATCACAACTGTATACAAGTAATGTAATGTGACCTGTGTTAAAGAGTTTGACTACATGGTGTCTGATTATTATAATGTTTCACATACTAGTTGGCTCATAAATCTGATGGCACAAAAGTTACACTGTTTTCACCTTAAAAAGTTCAGCATTGGTAATGAAAAAGAAAGGCATAGTTATAGATAAAGACATATTATACAGTAAATGTCACTCATATCTGTATCCCTATTTATGTGTGTTGCATATGCAGATACATACAGTAGTCAGTAATACACATGAGCACAGCTTTCAATGGGTGAAATCAACCACTGCTGTGTTGTTTCAGTATTGTAAAGTAAACATTAATAACATCAACATCTTCATGTTGAGTTTTCAACTTGTTACACAGTCTAAGAAAATGTTGAAATTAAGTAACATCCAGAGTTACGCTTAAAAAAAAAATGAAAGTACATGGTCATGTTGATGTGATGTATATACAGTAGCCATAAGGAGATATTAATCAACCCCTTCTCAGAGACTCACTGTACAAACTCCTAAAGACTCATATTCTTAAGTGATAGCCAAGGGAACATAACATTCAATCACATTATACACTAACATACTGAATCCATAAGAATGTCCCACTGCTGCTAGCCACTTTCCTCTTGCCTAGAAACTAGGGAAAAGGAATGAGAATACAGATCTGTTGACCTTTTCTGAATATCTTAGGACACTGGATGAAAATAGTATGCTGTTGTACTTCTTCAATGTGGTCCCATTACAATGTAATCTTCCGTCTCGGCTAAAAAAAATAAAGTGAGGCCTAACTACAGAAATTTGCTTGCTCAATTTGTAAAATATCTACAGCTATCAAAGTACTTTGATTATCCCATGCAAAAACAACTGAAAGGCAGATACATAATAGCTAAAGGCCTCACATTTATCTGTTTGATGTACTGGTTAACTTTAATCTCTTAGAACTCTCATTCATATATTTAGGCCTAGCTCACATACAAAGCACAAAGTCAAATACAAAACATACAGCTACTAAAAGCTACCACATTTATGAAATACTGATTCCCCTTTGAAATTGTAGGTTGGTGCTTTTCTGACAGTTAGTTAATTGTGCTGTTTCACTTTTTATTATATACATGAATGCTGTTATGTAGCAAGACAAAGCACAGAGGTTAAAATGTAATATCCAACATGTGTTTCATTTTTAGAGAGGGGAAACAGTCTCTTAAAGGCATTTCAACAGTCCTGTGTCCACTCTAGTACTTCTTGTTGAGGCTTCTTTGAATATCCATAGGTGTAATTTTTTGTCTGTTTCTTTGTGAGTGTCTCCTCTTGAATTTTTTTTTTTGTATGAAGGTTTTGGATTGTGATTGAAGCCATGCAGTCTTATCATGCACATTGAATGGACAGAGAGGCATCATTGATTGGCTTTTCATGTGCTTGAAGAAGGAGAGGGGGAGGGCCACCATAGTCCATTTGGTTTTATAGCATGACAACTAAACATTATGGGGAACAAGTATCAGACTGAGCAGGATGGATATGGGGTGCGATCATGGGCAGGGGTTTCTCCTTTCCTCCGTGAAGCTTTCCTGTCTGCATCAGTCAAGTTATGCAGTTGGTGGTATGGCCTTACGTGGAACTGCTACTGCTGGTTGTGGATGCCTGCGAACGAGACAAGAAAATCAGATAAATCTGGAAACGAACCTCATCACTGAAAGCCTTGTGACTGGCCAAACTGACACATCTCATGACAGGGGGCTTCAGGCACAGGACAGAGTGGGGTGGAGGGGTTGGGCAGATCCTTGAACATGAAGTGGTGAGGTGGCGGGTCTATCAATGAATACCATGCTCCAAGATTATGTGGAGGAGAGTGGTTGCTAGGTAACTGGGTGACTGGTTTCACTTTGCGTCTCTCCTGCACAAACAATTAGGTCACAACTCACATTACAGCAGACAGAAAATTCATAAGTGTTATTCTGTGTCTGTGTGAAGTCAGTAGCACTAGAATTACAGTTTTAACCAACCCCAATCATACAGAAACAGCACAGTCCCATCCCACGGGTAACATTTAAAAATAGGATACTCCTAATCTATCAGTGATGGAGGTAAACACAAATTAATCTTCACATGCACAGCATCCTTTTGAAAACACTGATTCAATTAAAGTCATAGCAGCATTTTCTTGACAACAAATTTAGTTAAAGGATTTTTTTTAGAATTGTGATCAGTGGCCTTCAGGCAGAGCAGCATGCTGAGGTTATTATTTTGTATTTAAAGTATGAAAAGTATGACTAGGACAGGGATAATGTTTAAATGCTACTTTATCTGGATCACCACTTTCACTTGTCTGCAAAACTGACCACAGATTGTCACATTATCGATTAGGATTTCTATGGCCTGATGTCTTTGTCCCCTGAAGTCAATCAAAATGGTTAAGGCCTCATTAGTATTAAACCTGTCAAACTATAAAAAACTTTGGCGAAGGTACATAATCCTGAAATACTGACCAAATTAGTGTTAACTACTGTGGTAATTAGATTGCTTACATGCATTTTAGTGCTTTAAAGGGTAACTTTGGAATTTTCCGATTTTCATATGTTTTTGTGTCTCTGTGACTAATGGGAACAACATTTTTTGAAATTGGTCCAGTACTGAGCAAGAGCGCTGCATTCGGCAGCAGTGAGACAGGGCGCCCTACAGAGACTTTGGTGTTTTAAAGTGTTAAACACACCAAAGTCACACAATAACAGAAACTAACCAATCGTGGTAGCAGTAGACCAGAGTGGTCAAATTTCTATTTTTGTCAATGGAGTCTGGTGGCTGGTTAAACAAAAATGATTTTAGTGTTAAAAATAAACGCGACCGGACCCCGGATAAGCGGATGAAGATGGATGGATGCTTTTAAAAAATGTCTTTCTGTAAGGATATTTTCCACAACATTGTAAGACACTTAAATTAACTATCTAAGCCTGTCAGTGACAAAAACAAGCACTTTAGTGGGCATACTTTGACAGTGTGCAATGCCTGCAAAGAGTACATTGTAGCCCTGTCTTGCTGCTGACTGCTGCGTGCTCGCTCAATACTGGACAAATTTCAAAACATGTTGTCCCAGTTTGTCACATAAACACAAAACATGGGAAAAGAGCCAGGTTGAAAAATAGCAAGGTTATCCTTTAAGGATGAGACTGCAATATGAGTAACAATAACCAAAATGTAGGCATGAAGAAGTTAACACAGGATTTGGCAAACTGCTGCATGTGATGTCAATTAAGTGATCCTTTGAATTTAAAAAGAAATCTGATTCTCCAAGTGATATTAATCAAGACAAAATTGTTTTTGTTAACACTGAGAACAGAAAAAACACAAACAACAACCCAAACATTAAGTTCTGTAACATCATTCAAAAAAGGGAATCCGGGGCGGGGGAGGGAGACTGCATACCTCCAGCTGCAGAGTGGACTTCCCTCATTTAGGGTACTTTAGAGTGGGGAGAAAAAAAAACAAGCAATTCAATGGTCAGGTCATTGCAAGCACAAAAAGGATTATTTGTGTATATGATCACAGAGTTGATGTCGAGGCACTATGAATGAAATGTTATCTTTGAAAATACCACAGACTACGAATGGTTGGTTGTTCTTCCAACAGAATACTAACCATCAGAGAGAGAGAGAGAAAGAGAGAGAGAGAGAGAGAGAGAGAGAGAGAGAGAGAGAGAGATCGGTAGATCAACATTCATCGTATCAACTTAGTCAATAGTCAAATCACACTGTCACTGGGGAAAAAAGGTCACTTGTGGGTTTAGCATTCTGCATTAAGTACTGTGGTGATGTAGAGCACAGAAAAGTCCTACACATTTCCAGACTCTCCAATACTGCAGACTGTGCTTGACCTTTAACTCCTGACAGTGACAGGAGACCTGCTCCACACCGTTGGCAGAGCTTATGTGTGTTGAAATGCACCCCTGTATTGTTGCTGTCATTGCTCAGAAGAGAGAAAAATTGTAGTGCATGTCATGTGTTTGAAGACAAAAAACAAGCCATGCATTACAAGGGAATTATAATATAATCACTCAAAAGAATCATTACCCACATACTTCTGTTGTTATATAAGCTCTTGACTTGATTGTGTTTTTCTTTTGTAGCAAATGATCAATGAAGACATACACATCCCACTGATATATAGGCCACAGACCAAAGTCACACAAATAAATAGAAGAAAAAAACTTTTCAGTAAGTGCTGCACTGTAAATCAAGAGCAAAATCGTAAAGACAAACAGCTGCAGGATATTTTATGAAGCAAATGTGTCATTTTCAATATTTTCTTCAGGTGGGTTGCTATTAACTGTTATATTTGTTAGGCCATTGGATTCTTTGATATCTGTTTAAATAACAAATTTTATGTCTTTTCATTTCTTTTTCTGATGGAGCTTTTTTTAACATGGTCCGCAAAGGTATGGCATTTCCACTAGTTGAATGTTAAGCATGATATTGGGAGTTGGGGTCTTAACAGTATTTTTTGTTGAAACCTAACACATAAATTTTTATACTATCATATAAATAGATTGAGGGACGTGAAACTTTGTTGTTACGGTATTTAAATGTGGGCCGGTGTGAAGATGTCACACACACAGGCAAAATTGAAACCGGAAAGTAAAAATATGAACACTATCACTGACGTCAGCGGTAGAACAATAATCAAATGTTTGGCTGTGTACTGTAAATGTGTACTGACCTAACATTTATACTGCTTTAGTGATTTTCGTATTGTAGTTTTGTTCTTGTATCTGGTTTGATATATTAAATACATTCACCCGTCACTGAATTTAGATGAAGTTTTCTCCATGTTTAACATTATTTTTTTTCCCCATCACCTTTACTTGAGTCATACAATACGTACTGCAAAAAAGGACAAAATACTGCCAATTCACCAGTTGTATGAGCTGGTGAACTGCTTTAACAAAAGGCCAGATTTTTCCCCAAACTGCAGTTGGGAATAAGAATTCATTTAAACTGTGGTAAAGTGAGCGACCATTTATACCTGCAGAGTGGAAGCTGCTGAGTCGCTAGTGTCTGTCAGTCCTGTGCCTCTCGGTAGACTGGACACGATGTATCTGGAGCCCTTTGGCACAGGCTGTCTAACCACCAGCTTCCCTTTCCTGGTCTCCGCTAGAAACAGACTGTACCAGTAGGCATCGTTGGAGACCAGAGTGGAATCTGCGATGGTGGAGTTCCTCTCACTGATCACACTGTTCCTGCAGGGAGGAGCCGCTTTGCTGGGCTTGGGTTTCTGACACTTGAGCACGATGGTGACCAATATGGTGATGAGCAGGAGAAATGACACCGAGCCCAGACCGATGACCAAATACAGGTTTAGGTCTGAAAAGATGTCGTATTCCAGAGGCACCTCAGTCATGTCAGAGTAGGCCTTCACGGCAGTCTCCACTGTGGACAGCTTGATGGTGACTGTGGCAGACAGAGCAGGCTGCCCGTTGTCTTTGGCAACAACAACCAGTCGCTGGTGGCGCGGGTCTCTGTAACTGAACATCCTCATAGTCCGGATCTCTCCGTTGTACTGGTCCAGACTGAACAAGGTGGCGTCAGTCACCTGTAGGAACTGGTAGGTGATCCGAGAGTTGTGCACCGAGTCGGTGTCTAAGGCTATCACTTTGGCAACCAGAGAGCCTTTATCGGTGGATCTGGGGATCTTTTCCTCCACCACAGAGCCGTGCGCGCGCCACGGAGACACAATAACCGGAGCGTTGTCGTTCTGGTCCACAATAATGATGTGCACGGTCACGTTACTGCTCAGTGGAGGAGAGCCAGAGTCTCTGGCCTCGATGTGGAAAAGAAACTCCTTCTCGATCTCATAGTCAAAAGTTTTTAGTGCGTAAAGGTTCCCGTTCTCTGGATTGATGGAGAACAGCATGGACATGGAGGTGTTGGCTATCTCCTTCTCTAGGATGAAATAAACTAGATACTGGTTTTCATGGAGGTCAGGGTCAAACGCAGAGAGTGAACTCAGCAAGGCCCCAGGTGCGTTATTCTCCGTTACACGTATAGTATAAAATGATTGAGGGAACTGTGGAACATTGTCATTCACATCCAGCAGCTCTAACGTCATAGTTTCATTGTCAGATAAAGGAGGAGAACCTCTGTCTGTAACAGTGAAAGTGATGTCATATTCTGGGACCTTCTCGCGGTCTAACGGCTCTGACACTACTAATTCATAATAGTTATCAGAGGACTCCCTCAGTCTGAAAGGCATGTTATCTGGAATATGCAGATCTACCACTCCGTTGTCACCTGAGTCTTTATCACTGACACTAACTACAGCTATCACTGTGTCAATGGGCTCACTCTCTTTGATTGGACTTTGAAATGATTTGATGGATATTTGTGGGTGATTGTCGTTCATATCTGTCACCTGTATTGTCAGCTTACACTGTCCAGATAAGGAGTTAGGCCCCTTATCGCTGGCAATAACCTCCATTTCATAAAGCTTAAAATCTTCATAATTTATCATCTCTTTCACTCTGATTTCACCATTTTCTGGATTCAAGTTGAACATCTGTTGCGTTCTCTCTGATGTATACAAACTATATGAATAAACAATCTCGGAATTAGAACCTTCATCTAAATCAGTGGCGTTTAGTTTGATTACTAGACTTCCAATCGGGGAGTTTTCCATCACATCTACGACGTATCTGTCTTTGTCAAATGAAGGGGCGTTGTCGTTCACATCAAGCACGCGAATAACGATGCTGGCTGTACCTGTGCGCGTGGGGACCCCACCGTCCACTGCAGTGAGTATTAGGTTATGATAAGCCTGCTGCTCTCTATCTAAAGCTTTCTTCAGAATCAAATCTGCAAACTTTGTCCCGTCTCTCCCGGTCTGAATTTCAATAGTGAAGTGTTCACTTGAGCTCAAATGGTAATTTTTCACAGAATTCGGTCCCACATCTGGGTCTGCAGCATTATTCAAAGAGAATCTCTCTCCAACGGGGCTTGATTCAGAGATGTCCAAGTGCATCGTTCCTCGTCGAAAATGAGGAGCGTTGTCGTTAATATCCGTGATTTCCACCTCAATATTAAACATTCGTATTGGATTTTCAATCGTAGCGTCTAATTTAAGAAAGCATGATGTAGTTGTTTTCGAAGGGCATAAAAACTCTCTGTCTATCCTTTCCAAAATGAACAGCTCTCCCGTGTCTTTGTTGATGTCAAGATATTTTTTATTGGCTACTACATCTATGCGCATTTTTCTTTTATTCAGACTCTTCACGTCTAATCCCAAATCAGTTGCTAAATTAGCAACGACAGATCCTTCCTCCATTTCTTCAGGAACAGAATAATGAGTAACGGTGAATACCGTGTTCATGATGGCAGAAAGAAAGATAAATACGGTAACGTACCCTCTCCCGAACAACAGTCGGATATGACGCGCCATCGTACAGATACCGTAGTTATATTGTTGACTTGAAAGGGGCTGAAACCTGGATAAACCGTCCCCTTGTTGAAGGAAAACAAAGAAATGAGGATTTTAAAAAGAAAAGGTTTCTTCACGCTTAGACCAAGAGTGACCTCCTTGTAATATGAGAACTGACTGTCCGTCCTCCAAAACAACTATCGCGAGAAGGATGACCTCATCAGAGAGTGTCTTTAAGCTGAGAGCAGCGACGAAATTAGTCATTAGTGTGCATTTGTATCTTTTTAAAAACTAAAAAATGGTAAACTTAGGAGGAGCGCGAATGGATTTTAATCACAGTTTAAGAAGCTGGAAATAACTCTTTCGGTGACTTTTTTTATTTCTCGTTTATAAACTTTTCTTTCCTGTGTGGGATGTGGAATTCTGAAAACCTGAATTCGTTCAATCATGACATTATGAACGTATTTTTTGTCACACATTTATACAGTGATCATAAAGGCATAGTGTGTATATCACGGTATCAACTTTCCTTTCTGTTCGGCGAGTTTTACGCACAGTTGTCTGTGCCCCACATATAGGCTAATTTATCCTTTCAAATACCTAATGAATGCAAAAATATCAAGGCTGGAATAACAAGAAAGACAGATATTTAGGAAAACAGAGTATACATTATTTGTTAGTTACATGTCAAATGTCATAAAAGTTTATCGACTTTTCAGAAACTAACTGCCCGCTAATGTAAAAGTGAAGCAGAAAGTTCAAATTATTCAGTGCTGGCACGACAAGCTGGCCATGAGTACTGTGGTCACTTATGAGTTGACTTGATGGTTATTCACGAAGTAGGTGAGAGCCGGTTTGGTTATAAAAGCACCACTTTCACCATGAAGGGATGACCAAAGAGTCATTTGATCAATTTCATGTATGACGATTTCCTTCCTGACCTCGCATGTGAATTTTCATAGCTGTGTGAGGAAGTATGCAGACCATACACCCCAAATACAGATTTTCGACTAAGTAATTATTTGGACCAAGTCTATATTTTGATTAGTACT